TTTTTTTTTTTTTTAGAGCTAGTGTTCTACCACTTGAGCCACAGCTCCACTTCCAGCTTTTTGATGGTTATTTGGAGGTAAGAGTCTCATGAATTTTCCTGCCTGGCTGGCTTTGAATTGTGATCCTCAGCTCTCAGCTTCCTGAGAATATAGACATAAGCTACTATCACCCTGTTCATGGCTCCAGCTTTTAAGGATTTTCCTTAAGCCTTCTCATTTCATATGCACACCCTCTTGTGGCAATCAAAAACCTATGTAGCCACCGTCTTCTGATATAGTCCTGGATATCATCATTCTAATTTGCATTTCTAATTTGATATCATCATTCTAATTTGCATCTCTGATTTGAGGTTTCCACTCCAAGCAACCTTGTGACTGCTGATCAAGTCAGGCTGCCAAGGGCTGGCCACATAAGTAACTCTTCAGCAATGGTTCTGGGCAGGACAACTTTCTCTAGAAGGGTCTGTGCAGGTGGTTCATACTCTGGCAGATTTCCCTCCCAAGGTTCTCCTAATGCTCCCTGCCATCCAGCAGAGCACCTGCTTCCCTTTGCCTTCTGTGACCATATAGACATGCCTTCACCCATGGAACGGCTCAACTTTCCCCTATATGTTTCTGTGACCTGGCCTCACTTCTAGACAAAAGAACACTGTGCCTTTATGATGTAGGCTACCATTATGGGAAGCCTTGCCTCCATCTGGAGCCCATCGTGATTAAAGGAGAGCAGGTCTGCTTGGCCAAGCTTGATAATCAGGCTCAGGGACTCAAGGCTCACATGAGAAGATGCAGCAAGTACAGAGCGTCCTCAAGCCAGGCAGGGTTTGGATACCTATCACTCCCACAGCCTTAGTTTTGTTTGTTTGTTTGTTTTTCCAGTCTTGGGGCCTGAACTCAAGGCCTGGACACTGTCTCTAAGCTTTTGCTCAAGGATAGCACTCTACCACTTGAGCCACAACATCACTTGGCTTTTTCTGTTTATATGGTACTGAGGAATCGAACCCAGGCCTTCATGCATGCTATGTGAGCACTCTACCAGTAAGCCACATCCCCGCCCCACACCCTTAGGTCTCCCACCCCACCTCGTTGGTCGTGCAGTCTGAACTTAGGGCCTTGGAGCTGTCCCTCAGCTCTTCAGCTCTACCACCTGAGCTACAGCGCCACTTCCAGCTTTTACTGCTTATGTGGTGCTGAGGATCTGAACCCAGGGCCTCATGCATGCAAAGCAAGCACTCTACCACTGAGCCAGCTCTCCAGCCCACACACCTTTAGTTTTGAGGAGTGTTTCGTTGGCTCTCATTCTGCAGGACCTAGGTTCTAAAGGTGGCTAGGTCACAGGTCCATTTGTGCCAGACAATATATCTTTTCTTTGTGCCAGTACTGGAACTTGAATTCAGGGTCTGGGAGCTGTCTCTGAGTTTATTTTTGCTCAAGGTTAGTTCTTTACCACTCAAGACACAGCCCCATTTTGGGCTTTTCATTGGAGATAAGAGCCTCACAACCTGGGCAGACTTCAAACCCAGATCCTCAGATCTCAATCTTCTGAGTACCTAAGATTATAGACAGGAGCTATCAGCACCTGGCCTTATCTCCAATTAAAAAGCAAAAACTGAGGTGGAGGTATGGCTCAAGTAGTAGAGGGTTAGCCTTGAATGAAAAAGCCAAGAGAGCATGGTAAGAGGAAACAAAAGGAGGAGGCAACAATGCTTGATAAGAAATGTACTGGGCTGGGATGGTGGCTCAGTGGTAGAATGCTTGCCTTGCATGCCTGAGGTCCTGGGTTCTATTCCTCAGCACCACATAAGCAAAAAGAAAAAAGCCGGAAGTGGCGCTGTGGCTCAAGTGGTAGAGTGCTAGCCTTGAGCTGAGGAGCTGAGGGACAGCACCCAGGCCCAGAGTTCAGGCCCCACGACCGGACCACCAAAAAAAAAAATAAATAAAATAAAGAAATGTACTCATGGGGCTGGGAAGGTGGCTCAGTGGTAGAGTGCTTGCCTTGCATGCATGAGGCCCTGGGTTCGATTCCTCAGCACCACATAAGCAAAAAGAAAAAAGCCGGAAGTGGTGCTGTGGCTCAAGTGGTAGAGTGCTAGCCTTGAGCTGAAGAGCTGAGGGACAGCGCCCAGGACCAGAGTTCAGGCCCCACAACCGAACCTCCCCCCCAAAAAAAAAAACAAAAAAAAGAAAAAGAAAAAGAAATGTACTCATTATCTTGTTCATGTAATTGTAAACCCTCTGTATGGTATTTTCACACACATACAAAAAAAGCCAAAAGATAGGTACCATATAACAGAGAACACTGGAAGTGATGCTGTGGCTCAAATGGTAGAGGGCTAGCCTTGAGCAAAAGAAGCTCAGAGACAGAGCCCAGGCCCTGAGTTCAAGCCCAAGAACTGGCAAAAAAATAAAAAGAAAAAGAAAGCCAAGAGAGCATAGGAAGGCCCTGAGTTCAAGGCTCTCCCGGCCCCCAATACACAAAACAAATGTACGAGTGACTCATACCTGTAGCCTGTAATCCTAGATACTCAAGAGGAGGCTGAGATCTGAAGATCTCAGTCCAAAGCTAGCTCAGGTAGACAAATCTAAGAGATTCATCTCCAATTGAGCAGCAAAAAGCTGGAAATGGAAGTACGGCTCAAATGGTAGAGCAGAAAAAGCTAAGCAGGAGGTTGAGGCCCTGAGTTCAAACCCCATTACTGGCACACGTGCACAGATGTTTCCTTGTAGAAATATCTTCTAATCAGGTGTGACAGCCTTTGTACAAGGTTGTGTGCAGTGTTTTGTGAGTGGTTCTTGTTACCAGGCAGGATACATGAGATCTTCAAACCTCAGCCTCCTGAGTAGCTAGGATTACAGGCATGTGCCACTGATGCCCAGATTCAAGTTTTGTTATCCCATATGTAATTCAAAATCAAAGCAACATTAAACAGGAAAAACCTTGCTTTGAGGTCAGTGGGAGAGTGTTTGGCTCTGGGTTTGACCCTCAGCACTACAGGAAACAGTCTAAATTAACACCATTATACCCTTGTAATCCAAGCTATTCAGGAGGCACATATCATGAAAATTTTGGTCAGAGACTGGCCCCAGGAACATCTTTTTAAAAGGTAAAAAATAAATAAATAAAAGACTTAGGGCTCAAGTGGTACAGTACTTCCTACCAGGGCACTAAGTTTAAACTCCAGTACTATTTAAAAAAATCAAATCATGTTGCTGTACTGAAAAGGCCTCTCTCTCTCCCAGTACTAGGTTTGAATTCTCTCTCTCTCTCTCTCTCTCTCTCTCTCTGTCTCTGTCTCTCTCCCCCCGTCAGTACTAGGGCTTGAACTCAGGACTTGGGTACTATCTTAGCTTTTTCACGCAAGGATAATGCTTTACCACTTGAGCCACAGCTCTATTTCTGCTTTTACTGGCTAATTGGATATAAAAGTCCCATGGACTTTCCCCTGGCTACTTTTGAACTGCAGGCCTCAGATCTAAGCCTCCTAAGTAGTTTGTGTTACAGACATAGACCATCCGTTTTCAGCACCTTTGGGTTTTTTAATGCAAAATTCTGAATAGTTTAATATGAACTTTAATCACCATTTTTTCCGGTGCCATAAGTACATGATTTGTCAGACTATTAGGAAATGCAGCTCAGAGGCAGTTCCTCTGTGACCACCAGCATAAAGCTTGGAGTGAAGTCAATGTAGGCACTTTGCATGAATAAGTAAACAATGGCAGCTTTTCCTCCCTTGAAGACTGAGCAGACAATTGTCTGAGAAGGTATCAAGATGTGAACCCACCTATGTCCAGAAGACCTGAGTCATAATTACACAGGCTTAGTTCCTACAGTTCCTTAGTGTCCTTGGGTTATGGTTTCCTAAGACAGCATTGTGACTTCTTTGAGAACCTGCTATTCTCCTCAAAAACCATAGCTCCCTGCTGCCCTCTACTGCCTGACCCAGTGATCATGACAGTTTGGCATGGAAGAATGGTCAGAGAAATTCAGAAACCCCACTGTCCAGGGATTTAGGTGACCAAGTGTTACAGAGATCAAATAGCTGGGGGAATCAATGAATTCTAAGGGTAAAAGACTGAAGGATCAGAGGATTCAGCAATGGAGTCACAGATCCCAGAGTTGTGATCACAAAATATAGTGACCCAGCAGCCTCAAGACTGCAAAGGGGGGGGGGGGGGGAGTGTAGTTATGGAGGTGGGAGGGAAGGGAATGTAGGTGAAAAACAAAGGAGCAGGTAACAATGTATCATTACCTTGCTCATGTAACTGTAACCCTCTGTACAGTATTTTCACACACACACACTATATACACATATATACATATACATATATATATATATATATACACACACACACACATATACATATGACTGAAATTAGCAAGTCACTGCTGGCTCATGCCTGTAATCCTGGCTATTCAAGAGGATGAGATCTGAGAATCGAGGCCAGCAGGGGTAGAAAAGGATGTGAGTCTCTTATCTCCAATTAACCACCAAATAGGCAGAAGTGTCTCAAATGGTAGCGTGCTAGTCTTAAGCAAAAAAGCTCAAGGCAGAGCCCAGGTCCTAAACTCAGGCCCTAATTCAAGCCCGAGGACTGGCACCAAAAGAAAAGAATAAAAGGCAAGCTGCAGGTCCAGGGAGAGACACACATGAATAAGGCCCTAGGAAACCAGAATCACAAGCTTCCTGGCATAAAGGTCTTAAGACACTGAGGTGGTATTTTGCTGTTCACTGGACCTAAAGCTGAGGAAGCTCACTCACCACGCCACCCCGCGATCTCTTAAAGCTTGGGAATAGAGCCTTGGCATTCATTGGCGAGGTTTCCGAAGCGTGGACCAATCAAAACCCTCCTCGTGTCTGCAGTCCCCTCCCACCTACCTATCTGGAAAGCTGGGGGTGGGTCTTTTTCACTATAATCCAATTGCAGTGCGGAAAGAGCTCCGAGCGGGATGGCGATTTGCTGCCGCGAGCGGGCGCTGTCAGAGCCGGATTGGCTTGTGGCGGGGACGGAAGCTTCCCAGGGTCCCGAGCAGCGGGGGCCGGGCAGCGGCGATGTGGAGCGCGGGCCGCGGCGGGGCTGCTGGACTAGCGCTCCTGGTGCTGCTACTGGCATTTTTGGTGCCAGGCGATGGCACCTCGAAGACTGGCGCGGGACTCGTGACATGTGGGTCGGTGCTGAAGCTACTCAACACGAACCACAGGGTTCGGCTGCACTCACATGACATCAAATACGGATCTGGTGCGCGGAGCTGGCCACTGTGGGTGGGGGGACCCCGGGGGAGGGGAGGTTGAGCTGTAGTTGTAGCGATCCGTGGTGGCTGGGGGAACCTAGAGTCATTGGCCCTTGAGAGATAAAGACGGGGGCTTTGAGGGGCCGTCTACATTATTGGGAAGGTCAACAGGGAACCTGGTGCCTTGGGGTTCAGGCAGGACTGAGTTTTTGGAGTCCCAGACTTGGGGTTGTGGGGATAGTTTGATGATGTTCAAGACCAGCGTCTGGTATTCTGCGGTTGACAGACCCTGGGGTGGGTGGGGATGTCACTCCTTAGGCAGCGGCCAACAGTCGGTGACCGGTGTGGAAGCGTCAGACGACGCCAATAGCTACTGGCGGATTCGCGGCGGCTCGGAGGGCGGGTGCCCGCGGGGGCTCCCGGTTCGCTGCGGGCAGGCTGTGCGGCTCACCCACGTGCTCACGGGCAAGAATCTGCACACGCACCACTTTCCCTCGCCGCTATCCAATAACCAGGTAAGCCCACTCCCTGACCTCGTGGAGAGACACCCAGGTTAAGGTTTCTGGGCCTCTGAGAAATGGGGATTTCAATTCTGAAATGTTACCTGAGCGCCCTCTCTGGTGATAAGGGGTTCCTGTCCCCAGGAGCTTCCAGTCCTGCTGAGAGATTGGAAGAGAGATAGATCCCTGTCATTAGCTCCTCTTTGGTAGGTACACGAGACTCAGAAGAGGGATCCACACAGCCTTCTGGATGTGGAATAGGAAATTCCACAGGGGAGGGGAAATCTCGGCAGGGTGTAGAAGGATGAGGAGCTCTCTTCTTGGCCTCAGAGGGGAAACAGACTTTCCAGACCTCTATGAGCATGTGTCAAGACTTGGAGATTAAGTGAGTTGCTACTGGTTCAAACCTGTACTCCTTGAGACCTGAGTTCAAAGCCAACCCAGGCAAGAAATTTTGTGGGGCCTTTATCTCTAATTACCCACCAAAAAACTGGAAGTGAAGTTGTGGCTCAAGTGGTAGAACATCAGTCTTGAGTGAAAATGCACTCAGGCCCTGGTGCACGTGTACACACACAGGGAGATCATTACAGCTGTGGCTGGTAGATTGGGGGCGGGGAGCTAAAACCTCTTTCTCCTTGTTCTCAACATCCTAAAGTCCAGTCCACACTTGAGGGCTCTATCTCCAAAAGCAATGTCAGGTGGGTACTGGTGGCTCATGTAATCCTAGCTACTTAGGAGGCTGAGATCTGAGGGTTTTTTTTGTTTTGTTTTTGGTGCCAGTCCTGGGGCTTGAACTCAGGGCCTGGGTGCTGTCCCCAAGCTATTTTGCTCAAAGCTAGCACTCTACCACTTGAGCCACAGCCCCAATTCTGGCTGTTTTGGTGGTTAATTGGAGATAAGAGTCTCATGAAGACACTCGTGCCTGTGCTGGCTTTGATCCACAGTCTTCAGATCTCAGCCTTTTTTTTTTGCCAGTTTTGGGGCTTGAACTCAGGGCCTGGGCTCTGTCCCTGAGCCTCTCTGTGCTCAAGGCTATCACTCTACCACTTGAGCCACAGCACCACTTGTAGCTTTTTCTGTAATCCGGGGCTTCATGCATGCTAGGCAAACATTCTACCACTAAGTCACATTCCCAGCCCCAGATCTCAGACTTCTGAGTAGCGAGGATTACAATGAGTCAGGTTTACCCAGCCTGACAATGCTTTTGGAGATAGAGGCCTCAACTAGGCACTGGACTTTAGAGGGGTTAGGACTTGAGAATGAGGGGAAAGGTTTTAGCTCTCAAGGGACCAGTGATCATTACATAGTTGCATGAATACATGTGTGTATGTGTCATAAATTCTGCACTGGGGAAAGAATACTGGTGGTGGTGGGGTAGGGGCAGGGGCAGGGTCCTGCTGTCTTACTTTTGCAGCTGTAGAAGCTGAGGATCATAGAGAGGCAGGGAAAGGACTAGAGATGAGTGCATGGGTCTAAATTCCCCTGCCAGGCAAGCAGCTTCAGGGGGACTCTGTGTTGATCATTTTAACCCATTTTACTCCGATGCCTACAGGAGGTCAGTGCCTTTGGAGAAGATGGTGAGGGTGATGACTTGGACCTGTGGACAGTGCGCTGCTCTGGGCAGCACTGGGAACGTGAGGCCACTGTGCGCTTCCAGCATGTGGGCACCTCTGTATTCCTGTCAGTCACTGGTGAGCAGTATGGGAGTCCCATCCGTGGACAGCTTGAGGTACACGGCATGCCCAGTGCCAACACACACAATACATGGAAGGCCATGGAAGGCATCTTCATCAAGCCTGGTGCAGAGCCCTCTGCAGGTCATGATGAACTCTGAGTGCACGGATGAGTAACTGGGTGGCAGAGGGTGCAGAGCCACTCTCGGCAGAGACTTTGTGTTTATAGGGGTCCTCAAGTGCCTTTGTGATTAAAGAACGTTGGTCTGTGTTTGTGTTTGCTGTGAGTCTGGGGGTGACCAGGAGTTTGCTGCCTAGCCCAGACCCAGTTTACCATCTATTCTTTTTGTTGTTGTTAGTGGTGGTCATGGGGCATGAACTCAGTGCTTGGGCACTGTCCCTGAGCTCTCTAGCTCAAGACTAGTGCTCTACCACTTAGAGCCACAGCGCCCCTTCCAGTTTTGGAGTTGTTAATTGGAGATAAAAGTCTCTTAGTGACCAGGCTAACTTTGAACCACAATCCTCAAGTTTCAGCCTCCTAAGTAGCTAGGATTACAGGTGTTAGCCACACCAGGGCCCCGCTTGTCCAAACCTTTTTGATATTCTATGCTTTTTAATACTTCTCTGAGCAGTCAGCTCTCCTCTCTACCCTTAGCTGCTGTGATGTTAAGAGGGTTTCCCAGCTCTTGAACTTAATGAAATTTCTTATTAAGGGCCAACGTAGATGACTCAGGCTCTTCAGTCCCCTTTTCTCTTGTAATATAGACCTCATTCCTGTGGTTTCTGTGGCAGTCTTGACACTTGTCTCTGACCAAGTGCCAGGTCAGGATCCCTGACTCTTGGTATAATGGAATTCCACCCTCTACAAACTACTCAGGGATGTGGCATCTCAGGTCTTCACCACAACATTCCAAGATCCTAAAGAGAGAATTTACCAAGATACCTTAAGTGAAAATAACTACAAAGAAAATCCTTGCAGAAATCTGAGAGGGCTTACTGGAAGAGGGGACACAATTTGGTCAATGCAAGTATTGTAATTTAAAGACAGAAGCATAACAACTGGAAGGCCCAAATTAAGCAAACTAATAGCTCTACGGGTATGTGGAGGTGCAGGAGGGGATGACAGACTTCCTGGACTAGCTCACTGAGCTCTGAGGAAGGGTTTCAGGGAGCAGCTGGGTGCTGCTTCCCTGAAGCAAGAGTCCAAGGAGAGGTTGGAAGTGGCACCTTGCCAGAAAGGGCTTGGAATAGTGTGGAAATAAGAACTTATATTTGGGGAATCAATTGGCCTTTTTAAATGCTAGGAGGGTGGGGATGGGAGAGAAGCTCTAAATCAATTGAGTTCTGTGGGATGGGTCATTGTGGGAAAGCCTTGGATGTATTACTCTATTTCTTCCTCTCTCCCTTTGAGACCCAGGCCCTCCACCGCCATACCTTTTTTTTTTTTTTTATTGCCAGCCCTGGGGCTTGAACTCAGGGCCAAGGCACTGTCCCTGAACTTCTTTTGTTTCTTTTTTCTTTTTTAAATTTTATTTTATTTTATTTGAGAATATACTGTACAGAGGGGTTACAATTACATGGGCAGGATAATGCATACATTTCTTACCAAGCATTGCAGCCTCCTCCTTTGTTTACCCTTCACCTCCCTTCCCAGCCTCCCCCTCCCCCCCCACCCAATCCTTCCCCCCCTCCCCCCCACACCGACATTGTAAAGCTCGTTTTTGACATGACATTTTGTACTTCTCATTGTTGCAACAGGTCCACCTGAATCCTTAAACGATTTGTTTTTCCCCATCTCCTCCACAAGTTATACTGACATCAAATATAGTGAAAGTGGGGGTTACACTGTGGGGGAGGGACATACAAAGCAACAAAGAAATAATCTTATAAATGCATTAGAAACACATGCATGAAAGAAAAAAAAACATTAAAATACATATTTAAGGCCTGAACTTCTTTTGATCAAGGCTAGCACTCTACCATTTGAGACATAGCACCACTTCTTTTTTTCTCTTTATGTGGTACTAAGGAATCGAACCCAAAACTTCATGCATGCTAAGCAAGCACTCTACCACTAAGCCACATCCCCAGCCTCCACTGCCATACTTCTTTAGAGTATCATCCACAATCTATTCACCTCTTTCATCACTCTGGATCAGAGAGGACTTAAATGGAGCTAGACTGTTGGGAGTTGGTCCCAGAAAACACCATGATAGAATAGTAGGGTTGCCAGACCCTGGTGGCTCACGCCTGTAATCCTAGCTACTCAGGAGTCTGAGATCTGAGAATCACAGTTCAAAGCCAGCCCGGGCAGGAAAGTACATGAGACTCTTATCTCCAATAAACCACTCAGAAAACCAGAAATGGCACTTTGGCTGAAAGGGTAGAACGCTAGCCTTGAGCTGAAGAGCTGAGGGACAGCACCTAGGCCCAGAGTTCAAGCCCCATCACACACACACACACACACACACACACACACCGCACGCACGCACGCACGCACACACACACACACATACAGAACAGGGAGTTGTGAGAGGGGAAGGGGAAAGAGCCAGTGAAGGGTGCATTGTGGTGCAAATTACTCCCATGCAAGAGACTGGAACTCAGGCTTATTGGGGATCTCATTGAAGTTGTCCCACCTGAGCCAGGCACTGATGGCTTCTGCTTAAAATGCCTAGCTAGGGGCTGGGAAGGTGGCTCAGTGGTAGAATGCTTGCCCTTGTATGCATGAGGCCCTGGGTTCAATTCCCCAGCACCACATAAGCACAAAAAGCTGGAAGTGGTACTGTGGCTCAAGCAGTAGAGTGCTCACCTTGAGTTGAAGAGCTGAGGGACAGCCCAGGCCCAGAGTTCAGGCCCCACGACCAGCAAAAAATAAAAATAAAATGCCTAGCTAATGAGAAGATTGAGATTTAAGGATCATGGTTTCAAGCCAGACTGGGCAGGTAAGTCCAAGAGATTTTCATTTCCAATTAATAGCCAATAAGCCAGATGCAGAACTGTGGCTCAAGTAGTAGAGTACAGGCCTTAAGCAAAAAAGCTAAGTGACAGTGCTCAGGCCCTGAGTTTAATGCTAGAAATGGCACTAAGTACATAAGTAAATAAATACAAACATACATACATACATACATGCATACATACATATATACAGGTCCTACCTGAAAGGCAAAGAAGCTAGGGTACTTACTTACCCACCAAAAATGTCTTTCCTGATTGGTTGTGGTCTGCCTGATGGGTGGGGGCAATCACATGGCAGAACTTCCCACTGTTTTGTACCTTGGAGAAGGAGTTTCTGTGGTCAGTATAAAGCCTTTAGGTAGAACCACAGGTATTGGCAGTGACCATTCTTTATGTGCTCTGGGATTCATGGCACAAATGGACTATACCCTGCATATGAGTGCACTTTTGCTTTATCCTGATGCACCCTCCTATACCAGGCACACAACACAGAGGAAAGGAATGAGGTAACATAAAGGGAGGAACCCAACAGGGCACAGCAAGCAGGACTCCCTGGACCACCAAACCCTAAACTGGGAGTAGATAAATTGGCTCCAGGCAAATTCAGGACAAAACTAAAAATAAAAACCACACTAGCAGCAGAACTCGAATTTATTGAACACTTCATAGGTGCCTGGTATTGGGTGAATGATTTTTACATCATCTAATTTGCATTTGGAGGCTACTATGAAATAGATCCAATTATTGTCTCAGTTTTGCAGAGAAAACAGTTGAGGTTTGTAAAGGTCCAAAACCAGCCCTTCCTGCTTCAAAAACATTTGTTCACAGCCACTAAACATAATAAAACAGGAAAGGCCTAGATGCCTAATTGTTTAAACATTCCTCCTAGCTCCCAACACTCCCACACCTTCAGAACTGTTTAGTGTCCAGAAACATATCCCTCTTGCTCTAGAGCCCACAGGATCTGTGGATCACAATCACCCTTTTCTAGGGATTCAAGCATCCTTTTCCCTGTGCCCATCCACATATGCCCAAGGCTTCATGGGCCTCGGGATCCAATCTCCACAGCCCAATTCAGCACAAGTGGTTTCATTGAAGCTCCACATCGCCACTCCGGCGATGAGTCAGAGGACAGAAAGAAGGGACCACCCCTCTCAGAAGCCCAAGGGGTCCGGATGAGTACTTCATCCCGGATGCACATCGAGTAATGTTGGCACACAATAAGAAGCAGCCTGCGACTGCATTCAACAACAGGCTTGATCAGGGGTTCAAACACTTTCCAGGGGTCGCAGCCCCCAGCTCAGCGGCAGGACCCCTCCCATCGGACTTCGAAGCGCTCCGGGAAGGTTACTGCTCGAAAACTTGCTAAGAAAAAGGCGGGCAAAATTTCCTTTTGATAAGTTATGAATGGGAAGAAAGTGCTTGTGGAACTCATTGTTAAAACCACGGGAGCCGAGCCTCGGGAGGCGCCAAGCCAATCCAAACCCAAGCCAATCCAAACCCGGAGGCTATTTTAAAATCTCTCGGGTAACAGCCAATAAAGTGTGCGGGAGGCGCAGCCCCGCACCGGCGCAGGCCAATGAGCGTGGCGCTATGCTAAGGACCTGTGGGTCCAGCCTCTCCGACTGTCAGCGGGTTAAAGATGGAGCCGGCGGGCGAGAGAGCACCACGAGGTGCGGGGTCGTCGGGGTGGGCCCGGGGCGGACTACAATTGGAGGACTTGCTCGCACTAGCCTAGGTATTGTCCCTGCCCTGGGCAAAAGGAGGGTCTTTCCCGTGAGTCGCCGATCTGGGGCGGAGGGGCGCGGGAAGAAGGGCGGCAGAGTGGGATTTGTGGAGGGGGTGCTACCAGGACCCCCGAACGCCCTCACTCCACGGGGAAGTCCAGAAGGGAGCATTTTTCTGTTCCGCTGTGGACCCTTGGGTAGGAGAATCTGTTAGGACAGAATGCAAAGCCCAAGGGAGGGCTAGGAGCCAGGGCAATGGGGAATTGAGCTCAGAAGAGGTGTATCACCGGGGTGGGGGTAGGGGGCGGGCACTGTGGTCCCAGAGCTGCGGGGCGAATGTGGGCTCAGGGTCGTCGGGCTGTACTCGCCCTGCTCCGAGCACTAGTGGGCTTCGGAGAGCGGGCAGAATGCGGTCCCTCTCCTTTGTGTGTGCCCTCCCTCCTCTGTCTAGCCCATCAGCTCTCCCAACATAGCTGTGATTTGTCTTCCACTAGATCCTGGATCTGGTTTGGATGTCCTAGGGTTCTGAAGACCCTGAAGATGGCAGTCCTTCAGATATCGGCTTCTGCGCCCCCAAGTCATGGAC